GCTGCTGATGCCCTCCACTCCCCTGGCTGCAAGTCTTGTGGGGACCCTTAGAAATAAAAAGTTTATGCCCGGCCCAGCTATTGTAACTTAGTGGTTGAGCATGGGCCTATGATCCAGGAGATCTTAGTTGGATTCCGGGTCGGGGCACATGCTTGGATTGTTGGCTCGATCCCCAGTGGGGGCGCGTGCAGGAGGCAGACAATCAATGACTCTCAATCATTGATGCTTCTCTCTCTCTCTCCCTCTCCCTTCCTCTCTCTGAAATCAATAAAAACATATTTTTAAAAAAATTAAAAAAAAAAAAGTTCATGCCTGGGAAGGGACATGGGTGTGCTCTAGAGGGAGCCCTCATTGCGTCTTTGTCCTGAGGGCTTTTTATACATTTTTTTTTCTAGAGGCAAGAATCTTAGGGGAGGGTTTCAGTAGAATATTTATCAGCTTTCCAGGTGAATTTTTAATATGCTGATGCATTAAAATGAGTGTATAAGGGAGTCTCGGATAATTCTTTGGTCTGTTTTAGTTTTGTCTTAGGTCTGTCTGGCTTTAATGTGGTTTTTGTTATTTGTTCCCCAACTTCATCTGTCCTAGGGTTTAGCTGGCACAAATGGCATTAATTGGATCTTTGTTCTTTATTTTTCCAGGCCAAGGTGATTTAAGCTATGTATTCTCTGGTTAGGAAGAAGGGTATAAACCCTTTGCTCTCAAGTGTCCTTGGTTAGGGAATATAAGGTCTTACAATTCACAGGCTGGCTGCAAGCTGCCCAAACTGTTTGGCCTGGCTTAATTTTCTTGTCTCAGTCTCCCCATTCCACTTGCCTCAGGATTTTTTGAGCTTCTTACTGTCCTGCTACAACGTCAATATTTAGTGATGGGTCTGAAGCTTTAATACAGGTCTTTGATGATTTCTTCTAGTAAAATACTACTGGAGAGGGAGAGTGAAGAAGACACATCCTAAGAGAAGCAACAGTCTCAAATCAAACATTAGTGTTTTCAAATGAATTTTACAGTGTTATCAGATGCCTCCAAGAAAGCGGCTCCATTGTGCTTTTCTGTGCAAACAATATAGTAGGAAGTTGCTACCATTTCTGCCTGATAAAGCTTTGTGTACATTTGGCCTCTTGCTTGGGAAGATAAATAAGCTCACTTCGGGGTTGGGTCTATAAGCAGATGATTGAATTTCAGGGAGGTGTTTATGTGCATTCAAGAAGAGTATTTCTGTCACTGCATTTTCACATGGGAGGTTTCAAAGGGAGTGGATAGATGGAAACAGAAGGGAAGATTGTTTATTGGGAGGAAATGAAAGGGATTAGTTTCTGTGGAGGCCAGGCAGGTGACCTAGATTCACAACACTGGGATGTGTACTCTGATGGATACTTTTTAAAAGAGAGAAAGAAATCTTGGAAACAGGGCCTGGCTTAATTTCCAGCCAATTCACATAAAGTCTCTTTGAAGGGGTTTTTCTAATCTCAGGAGAAGCTTTTATTTGACATATGTTTCATGTGGTGGGTTTATCTAGGGCTCAGATAATCACACAGTGAAGTTCTCATATGGATTACTCAGCATGCGTCTGGCCTCAGCAGGCTCTTTTTGGGGCCTTTGAGTCGAAATAAGCAAACATGAAATCTGAAAGACTTACATGTGATCCTTGGGTCATAGCACCCTTTTTAAAGTAACTATTCATATTTCCCTATGAAATTGAAAAACAACCCTATGTGTCTTCAAAAAATATTGCAAGTAATTCCACAAGATTTCTCTNGCCTCCAAGAAAGCGGCTCCATTGTGCTTTTCTGTGCAAACAATATAGTAGGAAGTTGCTACCATTTCTGCCTGATAAAGCTTTGTGTACATTTGGCCTCTTGCTTGGGAAGATAAATAAGCTCACTTCGGGGTTGGGTCTATAAGCAGATGATTGAATTTCAGGGAGGTGTTTATGTGCATTCAAGAAGAGTATTTCTGTCACTGCATTTTCACATGGGAGGTTTCAAAGGGAGTGGATAGATGGAAACAGAAGGGAAGATTGTTTATTGGGAGGAAATGAAAGGGATTAGTTTCTGTGGAGGCCAGGCAGGTGACCTAGATTCACAACACTGGGATGTGTACTCTGATGGATACTTTTTAAAAGAGAGAAAGAAATCTTGGAAACAGGGCCTGGCTTAATTTCCAGCCAATTCACATAAAGTCTCTTTGAAGGGGTTTTTCTAATCTCAGGAGAAGCTTTTATTTGACATATGTTTCATGTGGTGGGTTTATCTAGGGCTCAGATAATCACACAGTGAAGTTCTCATATGGATTACTCAGCATGCGTCTGGCCTCAGCAGGCTCTTTTTGGGGCCTTTGAGTCGAAATAAGCAAACATGAAATCTGAAAGACTTACATGTGATCCTTGGGTCATAGCACCCTTTTCAAAGTAACTATTCATATTTCCCTATGAAATTGAAAAACAACCCTATGTGTCTTCAAAAAATATTGCAAGTAATTCCACAAGATTTCTCTCTTGTGAGAGGAAGATCAGTGAAAATACAAAGAGCAGTGGAATAAAAAATAGGAAGACGGTGTGGCTGTCTATAGACTGAATGGTTTTAGAATGGCCATGAGTTGCTAAAAACACACTAGATTGACCTCCCTGCAAGTTATATTTCCCACAACTTCAGCTTTCTAGAGCAAAGTAATAAGAGATAAATTTTCTTGAAGGTAAGCTGCATGTCCTATACATTTTTGGATCTTGACATTCCACTGCATATATGTGTACCTTCCACCATGACTGTATAAATTCCTTGAGAGTAGAGACCATGATAGAGTGTGTGTGTGTGTGTGTGTGTGTGTGTGTGTGTGTGTGTGTGTATCTTCAGTAGCTAGCAGAAGTCTAAATTTTTGGGAGATGCTCAGTTTCATGCATTGAAAAAGGACCTCCTGTGATTTACCTTCACTACTTTCTAAATCAAAAGGTTGTGAAAATAATCATTTATTTATTTGTGTTTCAAAATCAACAATATACATAATGTATTGAATTGTGCCCAAATTCAATGCTGCTCTAAATGTTTTTCGTGGTGATTCAGTTTTCTCTTTACTTATATTATAAATGGTGAATAAAAAAAAATAGTGATTGTGGCCAGAGTCTACAAGGTCATGAGTTCGAGGCTGAGAATTTCCAACCATGTTTCACAAATGATGGGGTGCTCACTGTAGGTATTTGAACAGGATGAAATATATAGGCCAGGGTTTTCATGAATGAGAAAATAATGGGTGTAATGAAATAAGATGTTCATTTCTCACCCAAGAGCTTCAGACACACATATTCACAGATAAATGATACACAGGTGTGGCAAAGTACAGAAGCAAACATGTTAAAACTTTTTGTAGTTTTCAGTGTACAAGCCTTCACCTCCTTAGTTTATTCCTAAGTATTTAATTCCCTTTGATGTTATTATAAATGAAATCATTTTCTTAATTTCCTTTTATTGTTCATTATTATTGTATAGAAATACAACTGATTTTTGTGTGTTGACTTTGTAGCCTGCAACTATGCTAAATTTGTTTAGATGTTCTAATTGTTTTTCTCTTTTTCTGAATTTCTTTTTCCCACATTAACTGTTTTAATTTTACAAACAAATTGGGGCATTAAATACATGCACAGTATTCTGCAATCATCACCACTATCTATTTCCAGAACATTTTCATCTTCCCAAAGAGGAACTCTATAACCATTAAACAATAACTCCCCACTCATGCCTCCCAAAAGACCCTGGAATCTTTAGAAATCATGAGCTTTCTACATGTAAGATCATGTTATCTGCAAACAGAAAATTCTGTTCCCATTTGGATGCCTTTTATTTCTTTTCCTTGCCATATTGCTTTGGCTAGAACTTCCAGTACTATGTTAAAATAAAAATGGTTAAAGCAGGTATCCCTGGTTTGTTCCTGGTCTTAAGGAAAAGCTTTTACTCTTTCACCACTGCGTATAATATCAGGATACAAACTTGTGGTGCACAATTAAGAAAGAACTGACACATTCATTCCATGAATTGTTTCTCTAGGTAACATTACCAGGGCACCTCAAGTCATGATATTTTCCTGATAAAATAGAAATACATGTGACTTCACTTTAAGCAGAAACTCCCTTTCCTGTATTTTCCTGGGTTGTATCCTTTGCACTCTCTGTACTCTACTTGACTAGAGTATCTGCTTCTCTTGCTTAGTAACCTATTTCTTAATTGAATTTATTCAGGCAACATGGGTTAACAAAATTATACAGGTTTCAGGTGCACAATTCTACAACACATCATCTGTATACTGTATTGTATGTTCACCACCCCAAGTCACGTCTCCGTCCATCACCATTTATCCACCTATACTCCCTTCTACCTTCCTCCAGCCCCCTCCACCCCCAGCAGTCACCACATTGTTGTTTGTGTCAATGAATTTTTTCTCTTTTTTTTCTTTTTTGCTCAATTCCTCCACCACTCCTCTCACCCTGACAGCGGTCAGTCAACTCTCTATTTATAAGTCTGTCTCTGTTTTGCTTGTTAGTTTATTGTGTTCATTAGATTACACATATGAGTAAAGCCATATGGTACTTGTCTTTCTCTGACTGGCTTATTTCACTTAGCGTAATGCTCTCCAGGTCCATCCATACTGTCACAAAGGGTAATATTCCTTCTTTTTTACAGTTGAGTAGTAGTCCATTGTGTAAATGTACCACAGCTTTTAAAGCAGTATGGAGCTACTCAAACAATTAAAAATGGAACTACCGTATGGCCCAGGGATTCCAATTCTGGCAGCTTATCTGAAGAAACCCGAAACACAAATTCGAAAGAATATATGCACCCCTACATTCATTGCAGCGTTATTTATAATAGCGAAGATTTGGAACGAGCTCAAGTGTCCATCAGTAGATTAGTAACCTATTTAGAAAGTTTTTTCTTTCTTATTAAATCTAAAAATTAATCATGCCTTTTCTGTTGACTATATTTAAATATAAACTTTGTCTTGTGTTTTTTCAGAAGATGCTTATAAGACCCAGGTTAGGATCGACAATGAGCCAGCTTATTTGGACATCTTGGACACTGCTGGTCAGGTAGGTAATTTTCTTGGATCTCTCCAATTTCTGAGGCCAGTTTAGGCTTTAACCTCAAACGCATTTACCACAAAGAAGATGAGTCTAACTATTCAAACAGACAAAGAACATATTTTCAACAGCAGTCAGAAATTAAATAAGAAAAAAATTGACAGGAAAATGTGACTCATTGCCAACCAGGGTATTTCAAGATTCTCTTCATTTTTTTTCAATATAAAAATATAAGTGTAGATGTAATATTGCTAGTGAAATTATAAAATAGTTTATTTTTCTTCCTTAGATGTTCTCAAAACTGTGTCTGAGACCCCAATCTGATGATGGCTTTTATTAGATTATTTTAGCTGAATATAAAAAAGGAAGGCCTATTTAGCAAATATGCCCATGAAACTAAGGCTGCCAGAGAGCTTGATGGAATGAGTAACATAACCAAGATTTAGCATAATCTAACACATTCGTTTAAAAATCTGCAGATAGGAACAAGGAGAAAGAGAACTATGAGGAGGAAGAGAGAATAATTTGTATGATATAAAAATATAGAACTAAAATACTACACAGCAATTATAAATAAAATGGGAGGAAAGGAATCAGAATTAAAATATTTCAAAGCCTTGCAATATTTTGGAGGAAGATAGAGATTTTCTTTAACTTCATTCTTTTAAATAATTAGGTTAAAATTATAAATATGTCTATTAAATGCCAGACACAAAACAAATAACTCTCTACTTTGTTATAAACTTAAAACTACTCTAAAAAATAAAGTCATAAAAATATAACGTAAAAACTAGCAGAGGGAAAAGGGAAGAATAAATTTTAAAATTATGCATATAATACAAGGTTGAAAATAAAGAAAAGAAACAAAGGGAAACAAAGTGAAGGAGTGTAATATAATAAATAAATATAAATATATCAGGAATCGAAATAAATGGAACTAGATATACTCTCTCAGAATAGGCAAGTAAATTGGTAGCATCATATTGTATAAAATAACAAAACTAACCTCCTGTATTTGTTTGGTTTAAAAGAGACATAAGGGTACAGAAAAGTGGCAAATAAAAGAATGATTATTTTTAAAAAGTAGGCAAAATCAACCAAACCTAAAGCAGATATACCTGTATTAATATCAAACAAAATAGATTTTATTGGAAGAAAGCATTATTAAGATGTAAAAGTGTCCTTTTGTAATAAAAATCATTAAAAAGATTTTAAAATTCTAGTCTATAATATTCAAGACAAATGGAGTGAACAGAATAATATATAAATCCAAAATCATGCATAGCAGGAAATTTTAATGCACCTCTGTCGGTAAGTGCTGGATTAAAAAGTAATGTAATTGTAGAAGATTTGAAAACTACTTAACTTACATACAGTTCTGCAGTCAATATGAGAGTAGGCATTCTTTTCACATACATATGTGGTTTATACTTTTTACTGATTTCTAATGTAAGCAAAGAATGTGTTCTGTAGAACATTGATTGTTTGGTATATGTAGAATTTTACTTTGACTTAAAATGGGATAAATTTTTGTAATATGTTTGATCTAGTTGTTACCTCTTGAGGAGAAAGGAAAGAATTGGGAAAGGGGAGAGGTACAAAGTAGACTTCAACTATATGTGTAATGGTTTATGTTTCCTAAAGTTCTGATTAAACATAGAAAAATGTTAATAGTTGAAAACCTAGGTCATGGGCACAGGGAACTTCATTGTAATATTTTCCTTTGTACTTAAATAACTTACATTTTAAAAAATGTTTTATTATTTCATCTGTTTGGTGTTGCTATTTAAAAAATAACTGTATTAATTGGAATACTGATACTCTACTAGCCACTAGAAATAGGTGGTCTCTTTCTATATTTATGAGCTATATCCAGACTATTTGAAACCTATATATTAACAAACTCAGTTGTTTCCAGGAACATTTGAACAATGGACTTATGGGGGATGGTACTCTTGAAGCTTTGGGGAGATTTAGAATAGAAACATTTCTATTGACTCATGGAAAAAATACCTAGGCCATCAACTGCATAAAAATCTAAAGAGATACAAAGGCCCATCACAATGTCCTTAGTAATTCAGGGCACGTGAAATGCAACTATGTGAGATTATATGTCTATGTATCTGTGTGTATGTATGTATCTTACATTCTCAATATGATTAATTGGGCATCCATAGGGTTACAACACTGGATTAATTGTTCCATAGGAATACAAAAAATTTAAATCACTTTAGTCCCTGGCCTTGGAGAGTTACACTTTTATTTTTGCACATGTTTGAGACAGAATCTACTTGAAACTGAAGAGATGTCAAATATTTCTGCTTAGTCTTTGATTATATCACCTCTAGCTTTCTCTCATAAACACTGAGTGTTCCTTATCCATGTTTTAAGTATCTAATTATTCACCAGTGTGATATGTAGAACATTAAGATTTCTATTTATCATTTATATTTTTATCTGAAACTTGGCAATTTCAAAACTAAAGCTGTCGAATTTAAATATACATAATTTGATTTACACATATCATAAATGTACTAAGTAAAATTACTACCAAGACTCTCTAAAATATACTTTTGATAGAAAGATCTGAAAAACAGAATGTCATTCAGTGACCTCATCATTCAAAGCTGCATTTTTGTGGTGGACAATGCTAGAGCTTTTCATCCTATAATTACTGCTGGGCCACTTGCAAACAGAACTCTCACTAAGAGTAGTCCCTAGTAGAAACTCTGTAGTCAATTCATAATTGTTTCTACTTAATATCCATGTAAATGACTATAATTATGAATATTTAAGTAGATGGGGCTTTAGAGATCAAATATTTTAGCTCCTTTGTTTACAAATAAAGACACAGGGGCTCAGAAGAGGTAAGTGCCTTACCTAAGGTCATGTGGCTTCTAAATTCCAACACTGGAGAGACTTAGGTGCTATGCTCATGAGTCATTCCTGAAAGCCTACAGTGAGTGATGTGAACAGTACTGTACTATTCATGACTAGTAATGCTTACTTCTTGTGTATTACTTTTTTGACAATGTCAGTGATATTTTGATTGAAAGAGTCTTAGTTGAAAACCACTAGTTCAGAAAACTGGTAAGAACAATGGGTCAAAAACTCAAGATGGAAAAATCCAGAAATAACATGAAGGAAAAAAATGCCATTACTACAAGACTTTATTTACAACCATCTTCTTTTCTTTCTTTACATCTTTTACAATGTTTTGCACAAAGGATTTATCTTCACTGATTCTAAACATCGGGGGTATTTGTTTGCAGATTTTCCTTGAGTTACATCATCAATATATTGGTCCATTAGGAAATATTTAGATGATATTAATAAATAACAGTATTGCATGTATTTGGCATCTCTGTGAATGATCAAATTAGCAAGAACAATAGGGACAAGCTGTCCCACTTTCTGTAACTCTTGTACAGCTATATCATGAAGAAGAGACCCAGTTAAGAATATGTACTCAGTAAGAGTGAATGAAACTTTTGGGTTCATGACCAGTATTTTTCCTACATTTGACATAAATGGGATATGTAGAATTAGACAAAATACTATTGTCTCTGTGATTCACTTTCTTCCCATTTTTTAAAACATAAATAGCTTAGGTTAAATGTTATTTAAAACCTTTTGTGCTCTATCATTCTACCATTCTCAAAGCTATTTCATTCATTCAACAGTTAATTATTACATTTTGGGCACTGATGATTCTCTTTCAACAGTGCTATTCACTATGACAGATTCAAACAAATTTGAAAAATGTTTCCCACCTTTAAGACATTTGCATTTTAGTAGCGGAGGCAAGGTATACCTGGTTTGTTAAGAGAAATGTCACTTATGTGTCATAATGATAGCTTTCAACTAAGTTAAAGAATAAAAGCCAACTATTTTTGCCCTGGTACAGGATAACCAGAAAATAATAATGGCCTTTCTCCCAAAAGACCTTTACGTTTACTGAGAAGGTGTATTTATACACATAACTTCAAATTATGAGTCAGTGAAAAAAAACACAAATAGGTAAAATGCCTATTATCTCAGACAGTCTAGGAGTAGGACATTTTGATGATATAACCACAGGCATTACAAAAACTTTTCCTTTGATTTCTCATTTTTCTTCCTTCAGGAATATAGTAATATTATGATGTTAAAACTTTTCTTCTCTGCGTGTGTGTGTGTGTGTGTGTGTGTGTGTGTGTGTGTGTGTAATAGAGAATGAGAGAGATTGTGGATGGGTTTGGAGCATCTTGTATATCTGGAAAACCACCAGGGGTCACGAGAGGAATCAGAGGAAGGAAAATGGAAAACTGGGTTCTTGAAACTAAATCAAAGCTTAAGGAAGAAGCTTGATGTTTTTTGTAGGTCATATTTCCACACTTTATAGCCCAGGTTGGCAGGTTGGGAACATATATGATAATAAGGGCATGAATTTGGCTGGAGTGACCTATGGATCCTTAGTTTGGTAAACAGATTGTAGTAGAAAATCACTTGGGAAATACTACTAGTTCTTATTATATACGTTATTGCTAATCTATCAAAATGTAAATGGGTCAGTTAGTCTCCTTTACAAGATTAAAAAATCCTTTAGTGAGGGACTCTGTCTTCTTTTATGTCACCATCTACGCCTGGTATCTTGGTAGGTATATTGTAGGTGTCTCTTAATCATGCAGCTCTTTCAGTCAATTGGGAAAGAAAAGAATAAGTGAAGATTTTATCTATTTATATTTGTTTTTGGTTTAAGACTCTTGGTGAGTATTTTCTGTTAACCCTATGCGTATGCCTGAGGGCCCTGGAAAACGCGTGTTGCGTTTGACTTGAAATTCAGGGACAGATGGAGTTCGGGGAATGGAAATTCTCTACTAGAAATCAATTCTGTGATTAGACAGCAAAGTTTCTGAGATGCTCCCATTCAAGGAAGTCCGGTTGTTCTCTGGACCAACTACCAGTAAATAGCATGTGGATTTTTACTTCAATAAATGGAGACAAACTGTGACCAGAAGAACTGGAAA